GCACACCTGCCCTCCATGTCTTTATAGATTCGAGCAGCTGCACTCACTCAGCGGATGATTTTCTCAGAGCTGTCTTGCTCGGTAAGCGTCTTCGGTCTGCTGCCGTAAAGAACTGAGGAGGCCAGGAAGAGTAAGTGCCTGGACCTCCGGTAAAGACATAGCTGTCAAAGTCTCCCTAAGGGAGGGAGGGAGGGACCTTGAGCAGCCGCAGTTCGTTTGAAGCAGCTTAGCCGAATCAACTTGTGCACGCACTAACAGATTCGAGCAGCTGCACTCACTCAGCGGATGATTTTCTCAGAGCTGTCTTGCTCGGTAAGCGTCTTCGGTCTGCTGCCGTAAAGAACTGAGGAGGCCAGGAAGAGTAAGTGCCTTGACCTCCGGTGAAGACAAAGCTGTCAAAGTCTCCCAAGCCACTTCCCAAAAGGACGTGTTCGCAAGGGCTGGGCGGGAGGGTCGACGTGGTAGACGGCAGTCAGAGCGAAGGCTAGAGCATCGCAAAGTTTCTTGGGGTGCTCGTGGGAAACCTGCGTCCACGGAACCTGCCCAGGGGCGAGTCCTGAAAGAACAAAGTGTGTACTTGAAGTGCGACTGCAAACGCCGGAGTGACCATGACAAAGACGATGTAGACGTTGAAGGTTTTGGGAGTCCACGTTGCCTGTCAACAGGGTAGTGGGTCGCTTCCAACGTGTGCCCCACTGACACATATCCGTGTGGACGACAAAGGTGTGCGAGGACTTCAGTAAGGCCTGCACCGGCGGCAACAGCCAGCATTTCGAAGACCTCGGGTGCTCAAGAATCCAAGGCAGACTAAGGTCATCAAGCCAGCGAATAACCTGGATGACGCTCTCGAAGAGTCTGTTGCCTTCGTGCAGGCTGTTCCGGTCTTTTTGCTTCAAGTAAAAGTCTGGCACCCCCCACGGATACTCAGCTGTGCGAATGGCGCTAGCTCTGTCACGTGCAGCTGAAAAACTGAGGCAGGGCGGAGCCAGCATGGCCCCCAAAACGTAACCCGATCGGATATCACTTCGTACTCTTTTGAGCACCTCAGGCTTCACGAGGTCAAACTTTGCACCCCAAAGCAGGTCCCACTCTTTCGCTGTGAACCCCAACTTGCGGACAGCTTTAGCAACACCGCCACTCCCAGCAAAGAGGTCCATCAAGTAGAACCCCCTGCGGCCGCGCCATCGAACGAGATCTGGGGCGCGGGGGCCGTGCCGGCCATCACCGCCCCGAGAAGTGACTCGGCCTCGAGGCAGTGCTGCTGGACTCTGAGAGGCAGTGAGTTGAAGTTCATGGCCAGTCTGCCGCTCTTCTCGTACCTGGCGACGCTCTTGTGGCTCTTCCACCGACCCCGCTTCTGCACCTCGGCAAGGCTGCGCAGACGTCGACTGATATCGATCGACGGTCCGCTGTGCCTCCACTGGTAAGGTGTGACGGGCAGCTGGAGTCTGGTGGCGGCTTGGTTGAAGCAGCTCAGAAAGTCGGAGTACTCGAAGTCCCACAACGGCCGGTTTCCAGCTCCCTGCACCAGTCCCTGGAAGAGCCGTGGAGCCCAGGGCTCAGCCAAGCGGAGTCTAAAAGGACGCTGTCGTCGTACTCTCCCACTTTCGAGGGGTTCCCACTCTCTTCCGGATTCAGCACCAGACTCCAGTACTCCGTCACTCTCGCCGAGGGAGCAACCAGGCAGGCAATGCAACATCGAAGCAACTCGCTCGGTCGGGCGTAGCTCCAACTCAGGTACAGGAAGAGGTAGCGCGGAACATGCAGAGGGCCTCGCAAGCCCCGGAGGGGCCCCGATGGAGTCAAAAGAGCAGCCGACCTCGGGGAAACAGCCGACCGCCCGACTTGTCCTCATGTATCCTTTGGCGCCTCCAAACGCCGTCCGCCTCCTTTGGCTTTCGGCTTTGGTCTGGCGCCAGCTGGAAGACTACCATCTGCAACCGCATCTGCCCCCTCGTCAGCAACCTGGGTGCCTCGCCTCAGCTCCTTCACACGATTTCTCGCCTGATGTAAATCGGCTTCCTCCTTTCCGCGACGAGCAACCCAAGTCTTAAGCTGAGGCATGACTATGTCTTCAGGGCCCTTGTACCCGGTGATGAGTCTGGCGCTGGACCAGTCTGGAGCCGATGAGGGCCCTTGGCTATAGGCCTCCACTATCGCAGCGACACGGCGCGAAAGGGTCTCAAAACTCGACAGCACTGGGAGATTGAGCTGATCAAAAGTTCCTCCGAGCCAAAGTGCCTCAATGAGACACCTGAGCTCGTGCTTCACTCGGTCGGATGCCACGAGATCGGCTCCAAATCTCAAGCCAGCCCTTCGGGTCGCCACCCTGCCGCTCCATCGCCTTGATCATGTGCATCGTGGTGGCCGGGCCCTCATGAGGCCAGTCACTGTATGTGAAATCCTTGCATTCCTGAACCAGCGTCTTCCATGACTTGTACCGGGTGCCCTGGTTGTCAAAGTCAAGGTACAAGGTACGGGCGTCTCCACCCTCATCTTCCTGCGCGACCTGGCTCTCCCCAAGGACCGGCCCTAAAGCTCGTCTGCAGAGTGGCGTCCACCAGCTCGACCTTCAGCCAGCCGGCAGGGACCCTCACTAGCCCAACCTGGCCTCCGAAAGCAAAGTCGGTCGAGGGATTCACGTCGACGATATCTCCTATGGTTCTATCTCCAAAGTGCTCTGCCGATAGCCACAGTTTGCCTTCGGGAGCCTCCGAAATAGGAAGGAGGGCAGGAGCAGCAGCATGAGACGGAGAGCTAGGCTCCGGCGGAGCCCCCGACCCCAGAGGGCCCTTGCGCACAATGCGGCGTCTCACCAAGGCGGTCCCCAAGAAAGCTGAGGCATCAACGAGGGCCCCCTTCTGATCCATAACATGAGTCGGTAGCCAAGACGCGTCATAGCCGGGCTCGCCCTCCAGTTCCTCACGGGCGGCACGCACATGGGCGCGAAAATCTTCCGCCGTCGGATGCTCACGAAACTTGTATGCCCGGCCCCCGACACGGCTCCAGTAAGTGAAGTCCACGCCCTTGATCTTCATCTTGGTGGGACCATCACCTCCAGCACACCTGAGGTCCTCGACATACATGTCACCATCCGGCGTCAAGATCATCCAGAGATCATCGGAACACCTCCACAGCAGAATCCTTTCATGGTAATACACATCGTCAGGATACCACACAGCTACGCTCTGACCCGGCACCAGGTTCAACCACGATGCCATGGCCTCGTCGCCGAGGGCTTGATTCCACTACCACGGTTGCTGGGCTCCTCCGAAAGACTTTAGCAGCGATCCAGCCTATGATCAGTCCGGCCGCCCCCGTAGCCCAAGGTGTCCAGTCGAAGGGCTGAGGATGATCCCTTTCCACCTCAACGTGACACTCACAAACACAGGGATCACTCGATGGAAAAGTAAGCCCACTCTTCCGGCCGCCGTCCCACCACTGCAGGAGCCAGGCCACCAAGATCGCTTCCCATCGCATGACCCTGTCTACCTTTTGAACCTTGAGCGGCCGCAGTTCGTTTGAAGCAGCTCAGCCGAATCAACTCGTGCACGCACTAACAAACTTAATATAAGCTCGATCAGTTGCCAGGTCTGCTTGGCACGCCGCAGATGCGATGGTGCAGTCTGTGCGGGAAGCTCATGTAT